TAACGTTTCTCTTCATGATCATAGCCCGAGATAAAAAAAAAAAAAAAAAAAAAAACGGCAGCATAAATCCTAAGCTCATAAAAATAAAATACACCGAAGCAAAAGCAAAGCGTTCACACAATATCCATCACAATCATTAAACACGCTTACTAAACCACACAGGGTTTAGATTTTCAGAACTTCAAAAGTCTTCTCAGTTCAGCCTTGAATCCGATTGGGAACGTGCTGACGAAATCACTCAGGGCCTCAGGCCGATTAAGACCCTGTTCTTCGCATTGTCCACTCACTATTATGAAGGTCAGTACATAAAACCTAAACCGAAGAGATCTGCTTAAATACCAATGCCAATTATAAAACCCGATTCTTTAGATCCTTCGATAACCACACACATGCGTCCATATGCACCATGGGAAAATCCCGAGTCTAGCCTAGCAAAGACTGAAGAGGATTTGGTTATATTTTTACGGAGACCCCCACAGATTGTAATATCGCCAAATGTAACGGATCTATGGCCAGGAATAAGTATCCTCAACCCCAATGGATCATTCTTTGCTGCATCCATGGGATTATAACCAATTGTGGCAATGTTTGCCCCGCTGTGGCCAGGTGTTACATCTTCTTCGATTAACATATCAATTCCAACAAAGTCCTTCGCAACTTTCTGTTTGTCTTCAGGCTCAAAGATTGCTATTCTTGCAGAGATATCCCATGCTCTCAAAATTACTTTGATAGCCTCTGGGTCATCACTGGGATTGGACCAGTTAAGGTAGCCATTCGAGACAAAAATATCAATCCCGTTATTACGCGACTCAAAATCCTCAATTTGATCCTGAAAAGACTGGACCGCTGTGCTGGGAGCCCAGGGATGAAAATTCAGCGCTGTAATGAATAATCTTTCCGTAACCCAAAATCCACTGAGAGAAATATTGGCCCCCAGGTTCCAAAACCTCCCCGTACTAACGACCAACTTCTTGAAAGTTGAGGATTTGGTTGCGTGAAAGAATGGATGATAATCAGCGGATCCAGGATGAAAAGAAACATCCCCGAATGGAGTTGTCATATGATGCCTTTTTGGTGCCGGTCCATCATAGCCTTTCTGTAATTGCTCTAAGTTATTATTCTCTTGATCTTTATTACACCCGGAGAACATGTTTGTATATTCATGGTCAATTCGATAGCTGATACTAGGGAAAGGTTTGGCGGTCATAAAAACATCACGGAGAGACAGATTATCCTGCACAATGTTTTGAGGAGGCTTGACTGGAATTGCCTCGGTTTTGGGGATAAACTCCTGCGCTGTTGGAGCCTGATGAATAAGTGCCCCCTCGGAAAACTTTCTTTTGAGTTCTCTCAAGAATTTGATATCATCATGGGTGATACAAGTGTAATCATCTTGCTTGGAGATAGGTTTTGGCCTTACCCCCAGAGTATCGGGTTGGGCATATGCATGTGCATGATAGCTTTCAGCAAGAGCATCAATTTCGGAATTTGGCTTCATACTCGTACTGCTTGAAAATGATGGATCCTGGCCGAGGGTTGTGGGACTAGATGGTTCCGAGGAGCCAAGGAAACCAGAATCAATAGTCGCTCTGGTATCTCCGGATTTTTCCATCTTTTCCTTGGATTTCCAACGCTTCTGGTTCTTAGCTTCCGACTCCGTAGCAAACCTATGAAGATTGATCAATTTCTTAAACTCTTTTTGGTGCATAGAAGGAGGTGCATTTTGCCATTTGTGGAATTGAGTTGTTCCTTTTGCCTCCTCGAGTATTTTCTCAAGTTCTTCACCACTGATCACAGGGAATTCGCTATCATTTGATATGAGCGAGCTATCACTGATAGAAAAGTCCGAAGAACCAGAATCCTCAAGAAAAAACGGATCATTCCAAGCACTATCATAGGAAATATCTGGTGATGGTTGAAGAAGCTTTTTAAATGCCTCTGAAGAGCACCTTTGTAGTTCGTGGGATATATGATGAGGAGCAGCTGATGTCTCAGTGATATCGTCGTCTTCTGAGTCATCGCTCATAAAATTACCATCTAGAACCCACCTAGCATGGGTCCTATAGGCAACAGGTTCATCATTATCCTTATTTATATTATCTGTATCGAGATTATCTAGGGATCCTAAACCGTTCGGCAAATGGCTATGAAAGACTCTATCTTTCAGTACTTGAGGGATGATACGTTCAGTATCAAGAACGCAGGGTTTTAGTGGAATATCAACAATGTTGACCGCCTCGGGTTCAACCCTTCTATGGTGAGTTGTGGGGGCATTGGTCGGCTGTGTAGAAGGCTGATCGCCGCTTTTCTGGTTATGTTTCCCCCTTCTGTTTTGATCCTCCTGCGATGTAGAGAGAGAGATTTTATCTAGTAGTACATTGATTAGAAAAACCGAAGACTTGGCTGGGGAATTCTTCAGAGTAAAGTTCATATACTAGACAAACCTTGAGCGTAGTTGAATTTCACCGTAGGTGGCTCATTGATATAGGAAGAACCCAAACGATCGACTTATGGATACTGAATTAGCGATAACATGGAAAAAAACATATCTGACTTACCTTTTAAACTGGTATCTGTCGCCCACTCTGGATACTGGATAAACTTCACCCTAGGCTTTTCATAACTGCTTACTCGAGAGGCAGTTGTTGTAGTTCCTTTAGAAATAGATCTAGAGTTAATTTTTGTTTCCTTGGGAGGATCTGTGATTGATGAGAGGACGAAGCATTAGTAAGTAATGTAGATTCCCAAGTGAAACTCAAAACAAACCTTTGGCTGCTTGCTGTTTTTCCGCCCAGATGTGCCATTGAAGAGCCCATCGATGAAGAAGACTCAAAGGTTGAAACTTGGCACGAAGCTTTGAAGCCTCTTCTTTAGCACCCCTCCATTCATATCTACGAGCAGCAAGCTCTACTGGATCCATATACCAAGCTTCAGCGCGGTTAGGTGGGGGAGGTAGCCAAGACTTCATAGGATCAATCGAAACATTGGTCCATGGAAGGTCGTATATCGTTGGCTCTGAGAAGGATTGTTTTTCGATGGGTGTACTATCACTGTCATAGTTGAAGATGGTATCTAAATCCTTAGATTGAACGGGATCGTATGCTATAACAAATTTAGTACTTTAAGAATGAGCGGAGATTTTTATTTGCACATACTTGCTGGAGGGTTCATGGTCCAAGTTTTATCAGTAAATGGATTTTGGGGGGTTTTACTGATCATCTTCCACTGCTCATCAACGTAAAGACATCCGGCACTTATTTGATGGCCTTCAGGGACAGGCATAGTCAAAAAGGCTGCTATGTATTCGAATTAGTAGCCGATCCAATTCAAGGTGCATGTAGGTATGACATACGAGAGGGAGCCTCCTGATATAAGTTAAGATTCATCAATCCTTTCTGCATAGCCTCCATCCGCTTCCTGTTCATTATTTTTTGGGCCTCTGAATAGTGCTGATGAGGCAACGTTCCAACATTTTTCGAACTTTCACCGGGATACGCCCAAGGGTTTATGGAAGCCATTACCAGCCTTGTAATACAAGAAGCTACAATGGTAAGTTGTTCAGGATAAGGTTGTGTTAGCTATGAGGTCCGTGGTGATGAAGAAGAGACGGAACTTTGAAGAGGGCATTAGTGGAGAACAGAAAGAAGGACAGGTATGTAACTACACCCCGTATGGGTACCTTTCGTTTTTCTGTGGTGCTTTAAACCGCGCTAGATTCTTCACTGGAATACGTGTACCTTTTCCACCCTCAGCCCAGTTGTGATTATAAATGTATACAGCAATTACATGTAGTGCCCACCATTGCTCGGCCTTTGTGGGTGAGATGTAGATTTCCGAATTACCATACATGTACTTTTCACCACTGGCACCATGGCTAGGCGTTTCCACCCTTCAATCCAACACTTCTTCGCCCAATTCAGGTAAGCAGATATATAGCAAACCAATCAATCGCATTTAGCTATCTGTTGGTCCTCCTCTCTATCCATCGGGATGGCTTGTTTGGACCGGTAAAGAGGTGGAAATTGTGTCTTGCATTATCATCATCCCAGGTTCTTCATCAAGCCCTATTCCCGTTATTTCTTAAAATGAATTAGACAGTGTTAATTTATCAAAGACGTAGGTGAAGGGACCAAATTAGCCACTATTTTGATTGTTGAAAGCCAAAGCCATCAAGGCTATCGACCTTATAGGGGTATACATATCCTGGGCCTTCGAGGTTTCTGATTCCTTGCAAGCGACGGCGAGGCGTAAAGGGCCTCGGTCTCGGATAGCGCACTGTGCTGGGACATTTGTTGCAGGTAGCTATTTACGAGAAGCTCTAATTCTCCATTGCCAGAAACCAGTCTCTGAGTACCATCAGATAGACGTCGACTGCCATAAGACAGGATCATTGAGAATAGCCTCTCTCGAGTATATAGGTTAGACTACTCAAGGAACAGATACTATTGATGAGGGTATCAGCGTGCCCCCGTGAAGAGTAATTCATTTTATATCGATGGCAAATGCTATTCGGGTATCAACCAGTTTCAGTGACTTTAATCGCTACATTAGGAGTAATGTAAGAGGGATACATGTATCATATCTTTTTTCTTTCTCGGGCTCCGGGTGAGATTCCAGATCGGTTCTACTTCTCATGTATAAAACTTGCTAACTCTAGCAATGACGGGAAGGGAAACTAGATAATTTAAGATTCAAAAGTCTCGCATTCTTAACCGCGGTTCTGGTGGTGTGTGCTCCGGTCACCAATTCTTTTACTCTCGCATTCTCTTATCGATACTCTGTAACTTTAGACCAACCCCCAGGCTGCTTCGAAAAATCAACCGGTTCCATCAATCATTGACATCCAAAAGAGGCTTAGTCACTTGATCTATACACGACAAATGTTATTGAACCACAATCGAATCTCGTAATTCATAATAATCCTATACATATCCTACAACCTGTGAGTCCTTTCAAAACAACACGTAATAAAACTAAGAAGAGAAATCAATCCCCTAAAACTACAAACTTAAAGTCCTGCTAGGCTTCTCCGTCCCAGGAGCGCCCTCACTATCATTCAACAAATCAAAACGATTCTCATTGTCACCACCTTTACCCCTTGTGGTACCCATAGCATAATCCCTCTTTGCCTTCTGCGCAAGCATATGGATCGCCCCGGCACGGCCTGGGTCCTCGTTACTATCGATATCGGTTGTTATTTTAGTGTCCTTCGGCACCTTCGACCAATCCAGTCCTGGCTCCAGTGTCTCTTCATTTCGTGCGGTATGCGGGACCTTCTTGCTGGGATTACCATGTCCACCACTCGTAGTTGTAGTAGTCGACCCAGCAGTCTGCCTAGATCCACGCCCCTCGCCGGCGGTACTATCACCGCCCGAATACTTTGAGGCCCCCAGTCCTCCCCCACCACTGGACGCTCCGATCCTGCCGCCCTCGGTATTCAAACTTTCAAACTCTCCCGCTGACACGTTATACGCGCCCATACTCCCACTCCCCGAGAAGTCACCGCACTCCTTCGTCTTTTCCCTCACCTGCCTATCCGCATGACCCAGACCCCCCTCGAGGCCCTCCTTCCCGGCATGCAGCGTCCTGACATTCCCCCCGCCCTCTCTTGGGTCAACGGCAAATGTGCCTCCTAAACCGGAGGAGCCAGAGATTCCCGTGGGGCCGCCAGCGGAGAAGGAGCCACCCGCGCGGAGAGAATCGGCGGCGAGTGAGTCCTTGGCGACGGGACCGCTGTGCTCGTATTTCGGGGAGCGGCGACCGGAGGGGTCGGTGCTGACTTTTTGGCCGTGGGTTGGGTTACTCTGTGCGGTGTTAGAATGGTGCGCTGGGTCGGGGGGAAAGATTGTGTGTGTGAAGGGGACGGGGCGGTGGTGAGGGTGATGCGGGGAGTACGTGGAATGGGCGGTATAGGTAGCGGTAAGAGTTATGGGCATGGTATTAAGCTATTGATAGTGGGTAAGATTAATTGATAGGATTTGTACCTTGTGCGTAGACGGCATATTGGAAATTTCAACTAATTCCGGGGAGAATAGATATATCTGGTTTTCGTCCTAAGCTTCTTCTTCCTCTGCCCTACGAAGTGACCTCGGGAGGCCTAGGATGAACGGATGGGATGGGATCGTATGAGATGATTCGATCCTAGATACGAAAATGAGATAAGAAATGGACCCGGTAAACTAAGGCGATTTTTTTTTTTTGCTAGTCAAAGCTAAAGTGGAACGATGATAGAGTAACACTTTACTTGGGGTAGGAATTGAAGAAAGAGAAATCGAATCATTCTGCCCACGGGGTTGCCGATTATATCTTTCTCACTAGCAGCACAGCTACCAAGACAGCTTCAACAGCTATTACCATGAAGCTATGTAGCTATGAGGTAATGTGATGTCAGAGTGAGGAATTGAGTGTTTTGCACGTCTGTCGATCTAGCACAAAGAGCTTTGTACAGTTTGACGATCACGAAAAGCTGGAGCTGGAGCAACTCTTTGATCAAACCCGATACCCACAGCTAATTGCAAGTACCGGCGAAATCCACAGTTTTGCAATCCGCGGTGGACCCGGCCGCTCTACCGAGGATTCGCTCCATCGGCAGGTAACTTGCAAGCCAAAGTACTTGTACTTTACTCTAGGGATCGTCCGGCCGGTGCTGTACTACTACGTTAGAGTACATGGTTGCGGCCGGATGAAACGTCAGATCTGATAACCTTACCTTACAGAAACCCGCATGGATTATTATCATGCCACCTGGGTTTGCAATCCAACCCGCCCGTGCGCAGGCGGTGAACAGGATTCTCTATTTCGAAAATCCAAAGCCGGGGAATTCAACCCGAAACTGGAAGTCGGAAGCCTCCCCGCGATGGCCTGAGGAAACTTGTTTCGAGTGCCGCTCTCCTCCGCATTCATTCATATTCATTCGTTGTTAAGGCTGAAGTCCCAGCACTGGCAAATTAAAAAGCAGCCAGACGGATATAGATATATCCAAAGAACGCTCCAATAGATATGTAGCCATCATACCACGCCCGTGCCGTCAATTGCGGAGTAAAGCTGGGCTGATTTCTCCCCATAAATGCAACGATATTCCTTGCCTGCCCGCCCGTGGGAGGAGGTTGTTCTTTTGTTTCAATCGTAGTAAGAGGATGATGCCGGTACTCTAGGTACATGCTACGGGTAGACCCGGTCCTACCCTTCTTCTTATGAGCTTAATGGTCCCCGAGTAGCGATCACGTGCGGCGCGTTCTAGAAAAAACATCGTGTTCGTCGTCGGCAATAGCCGTCGCGTCGTTTCGGGAGTTATTAGACTACGAAACTCTACATACATGTAACATCACTCGATCGATTCCATGCTCTTCACCCGATACAGTTCCTAGAGGCGAGGAGATTGATTGAGACCGCAACAAGAAAAATCCTTCCTTGTAGCTACGAGTACATCGAAAGGATCAAAATCACAGGCCAGGGGGGTAGATCTCTACGGGCGGTACCATCGAGACTCCAACAGAGCTCTGTATGAGAAAAACCATGCCCAACGAAACCACCGCAAGGAGGATCTCGGATCAATTTCTGCTAGCAGATCGCACTCTAGCTTCCCCCAGATTCTCCTTGTTCTGTTGGGGTAGCCTGTAAAGGTATTCTATCCAGGTTGGCAGGTAGGAGTCAAATTTCAATCACTTGGTCAAAAGGACACGTTCCCCTCAAAAAAAAAAGATCACCCGGAAAAACTGGTGATGTTTTCGATATTTCTCGGAAGAAAAAAAAAAAAAAAAAAAAGACGGTGAGATCAGATCATTCCGGAATTTCTTTTTATTTTTGTGGCGTTACCATCTATCTACCCGCTGGACTGGACTGGGCTGGGGTTGGTGAGTGGGTGGTTCAGCCTCAAATCGATGAGTTGATGGATATTTACATGGGCCACCCCGGCTTCACCCGATTGCACCGCCGGCGGTAGTTGCGAGGTTGAATATCTGAGCTCTCAGGAGCTCTTGAGTTTGTTTTGTCTTTGTTTAATGGTGTGTTATGGTATGGCATATGATGGGGGCGGGTAATGTATTGCAATTATGTGGGGGAAGTATGAGAAATCAGGCAGAAACGTTAAATCATACAAAAGTCGACGATGCGAATGTCGTATGGCAGTGACTGGTCAAGTTTTTTATCGCACAAACAGACAGCATCCTTTCTACAAACGCACACACCCACGCTGACGGGGAAAAAAAACTTTTATTTTTCACTTGGGGTTTTCTAGTGCTGCTGTGCTCAGGTACCCCATGCCTGATGATCTACCGACTGCGCTGCCACGGTGTAAGATAGATAGATGGCCAGGCATTCATTCGTGTCAATCCCAAGCGAGAGCGTTTCTGTTTCTGCCGCCCCCAACCTGTCTGTCTGATATGTATGAGAGCAGATACTCTTCTATCTACACACAGACAAGCGAAGCTGGACTGGACTGGATTGCTATGCATCTCAGTATCATAGATACGAAATGCTACCCTTAGGTCCATCGCACCTCTTTGTACAGCACATGTAGATTACCATATAGATAGATAGCAGCCCCGCCCTACGCTTTGTTTCTATATCTGTCGCTGGACGAACAACAAACCCATATTTTGTTTTCCTCAGCCAGCCAGCCAATGGATGGGATACGAGGGAGCGATAAAAAGAGGGGTTTTGGCTGTTCGATAAGTACGTACTCTACCTAAAACTTGCAAAAGAGAGACAAGTAGGTATCGAATCATTATCATAGTACATAATCGCTGGTGGTGGTGGGGGGGGGATGTAAATGGGGGGTGAACGAGGAATGGGGAATAGGGAATGGGAACCTGCTATTCGAACGACCGACTTTAGGCCGTGTGTGACCTGACCAACATACCATATCCACGTATGTATTGGCCTGAGCCATGAGCAAAATAGGTCGACGTGGTGCTGGATGGACAGGATTGATGGATAGGATGGGATAGGATGGGATACTCTACTTAGATAGAGTAGGTAGTTTATGTTGTAGGTAGGTACATGTGTGTGGAGTTATGTAGATATACCTGCTTTGCTGCTTGACTTGCTTGGGTTGAAACATGCTCGACATGCGGTTTTGGTGGGGGGATTGTTCCGGGACATGGGTGAAATTCCCGGTAGCGAAGTCATTTTTCAGTTTCATGGTTTTTTTATGCGCTCCTCCTTCCATATCCATGAAGTCAGAGTCTCAGAATTCGGTCTCTCTAGTCTTTTTTTCCTTTTTTTTCTCGATATCGTAACCAATATGCATGTAGTGCGGCGGCGGTAGTGGTTGTGGTGGTGGTGGGAACTTGAATTGGGCGTCTCTTCTCCCTCTTCGTGCGTGTTGCGGATTATCCATCCCGATGTCGGTTGAGGGAGGGTGTGTGTGTGACAGATTTTACTCGCCTTCCCGTAGCGTGGCCGATATCACCCGTATGGAGCAATTCTGTCAGCGGTCGCCGGTGGGCCATCAACAGCATCCCTGTCTGACTGATAATTCTCTCGCCGCAACACACACAGACAACCACAGACATGCACACACACGCGCAGATTCCAGAGCCAACCAACCAACCAGCCTCTCTCAACCGACCGGGAGCCCGTCACTTTCCACTCCTGCCCTAGTAACTCCGGTTCTCTCCCGCATACGCGCAAACTATGCAGGCCCCTGTCGGGCAGAGCCGCGTGTCTGAGTTGACTGCTGCTGGGTATGCGAGAGTAACCTTGCTTTATTGCGGGTGTGGTGGTCATAGTGTATGTGTGCATAGTGTTTTTTGAGTGTTTGCAAGGCTGGGCTGCAGCTGCTTAACCTCTCACTCCCTCGCTCAACTCACTCACTCATTCTCTCACTCATCACAAACTCGTGGCTGCCCCCACCTTGAATCACCCCTTTTCGTCTGGAGCTCTCTCTCTCCTTCCTCTTCTCACTCTTTCTTGCCAGTGTATATAACTGTTTGACGGCCCCCCATCAGTCCGCCGGTCTTGACTTCTCACAACCTTTTCTGCAGCCTGCCCCATCAACACAGCACCCACCACGCACAGCATATATATATACACGATATCTACTCATCAAGAGTCTTATAAAGTCGAGCCAGCACCCAGCATCAGCATCCTATCTATTTAGAATACATTACAGCATATAGAGATATATAATATTAGCAACTACAGCTAATTGCACATACCGCAAAAGAATACAATACAGCCTAGCTCTCGTCACCATGTCGAACGCCATGAAAAAGCTCAAGCTCCTCCACCACCTCACGGCCGCCTCTGCCAATGCCACAGCCAGCACGAGCAGCATGCCACCACCCCCGGCATCCGCGCAGCAGTTCCCCACTCCCCCCACATCCCCAATACGCCACCACTTCCACCCGCAGTCGCAGTCCTACCTCGACGTCTCGAATGCCCTGCGCTCTGCCCGTCATGCACTGAACAGCATTCAGTCCTCCACCGTTGTCCCCCAGCAGCACCAGTACCACACGCAGGCAGACCAGCTCATGCGAAACTCACACTACGCCGCCATGGTCCAGCAGCCTCCCAGGCCTTCCGGCGCTCCCGCATGCCTACTGCCGCAGGCATTCATGGTCCTCACACCCAATGACCCCCACCCAGCCATCTGCCTGCCCGCATCACCTCCGCCAGTGACGTCGCACATGCACAACCACTACCATCATCACTCAACGCTCATCCCACCCGTCCCAATCAACCCGCCAATCCAGCAGGTGCTCATGTCCGAGCAGGCAGTCCCACGGGGAAACACGACAATCTACTCATCTCGCCCCCCAGCTCCCGCATACCAGGGTGCCTCGCACTACCAGTACCAGACGACCCGCCGTCCCAGCACACACAAGCACCCACGCCTCACCACCGACGCCGTCTCCAAGATCGGCAAGGACTCCCGCCTCGCCCGCTGGGAGCGTGTCGTCGGCTACGTGCGTGAGCAGCGCAAAGCCAGCGCCGCTAGCCAGGCAGACAGCACCCCCGAGGACCCAACCCTCTCTGCTATCGAGGCAAAGAAGGCATTCATCCGCGAGATCGAGCGCAAGAACCACTTTCTCGACATGATCGACTACGACGAGCAGAAGCAGCGATCACTGTGGAGCGGCGGCAGCGCGGGCACGAACGGTGTTGATGAGTTTGTGTGGAGCGAGGACGAGGACGACGATTCCTTCCGCAAGGTGGTCGAGAACCAGCATGCACTCGAGGAGCACAAGCGCCGTTTGGACCGCCTGTACCCCGAGGACGTTGTCAAGGAGAACGTTGCAGCGGCGGAGGAGGGTGTGTTTACGCTAGAGGATGGCGAGGCCACAGTGAAGGATTTTGAGATGGGGAATGGGTTGACGAGGTCGCCGAGGAGTGAGAAGAGGCCGAGGAGCTCGCCGGCGGTGGAGTCAAACGCCTTTTGGGAGTCGATGAAGAGGACCGAGATTGAGAAGTTGCCTGAGCTGAGGAGGGAGAGCCAGATTGAGGGCGGTTTGGACAGACTTGTGGGGAGGGAGATGAGGAGGTTCTCCGTTTACTAATTCCTTTCTCTCGCTTCGTTTTTTTCTTTTCTTGACGACAAAAGTCTTTTTTATCATGTTTAATTACCACTACCACTACTAGCTACACCGGACCTACATTCTACATTACGTTTTTTTTTATATATATTCTTATGTTTTTCTTTTTATCATTCAGGATGGGGGGGCGTCTGGGTTTTTGCTTTTATTATTATCACCACTTTTTATATTTTTTTATCCTGCAAATATTGCATAGATAGTTTTATATTTAATGCACCCTTTTTTGCACTCCACACTCACCTCTTCTCCTAGTTGGTTTTGCCAGTTTTCTAATCTCCCTTTTTTTTTCTTTTTCTTTCTGACAAAAAAGTTTGGGGTTTGGTTTGCGGGTTACGAGGACATGCATACTTAGACCTTATGAATACTTGGCTTGTTGTTATTACTCTACTCTAGAAATAATGGAATGGAAAACAATAATCGCTACTCTACCATAGTACCTACTTGCTTCCTCCTAGATGACCTAGAACCAACAAACCACGGCCAACCACCAACAGAGCCAAGCACGTGACAACGAGTGATATCCCATGCCCCAGCCCAACCCTCCGCCCTGAATAGCCGGACGGGTTGGGGAGGGAGGGAATTACAAGTGTCCTCGTCATTTCGACGAGCGCCAATGATCGACGGTAGGCAGTGCTTTTGCTATAAGTAAAGTAGGCAGAAAAAAAAAAAAAAGGTTGAAGGGCGGTGGGTAGTAGATATATCCCTTGGCCCGATCACTCGCCGGGAATAGATCGATGGCGATCCGTCACTCGGGGGGTCCACCACTCGAGAAGGTTACCTACTCTAGGCAGGGGGGGGGGGGGGGTAGAGGACGTGGGTTTGGGCAATTCGGGGGAAACGTACCGTGGGGAACCGGCCGGCTGGAGACGTTAGAGCCTGTCTGCGTCTCGTGGCCCGGCCGCAAAAGCAATTTTCCGGCCCCTTCCTTGTGACAGCCGGCTTTTCTTTCTACATACTGCTGTTGCCCCCCCCCCCCCCCCCGCGGTCGTACGTACCTGTCAATCAAATCCCCAGCCAGCCTCGTATCACAAGCTGTGAGTAACGAACCCTCAGCAGGGGGGGCAAAACCACACGCCCATTCTGTGATATCCCCCCTCCCCCCCCCCCACATCCGGCTAGTCCATTCCCGGGTTGGCCGTCCCTTGTGTCGGGCCAAGGGAAACACACTTCTTCGGCACCGAGAAACGGCACTCTAAGCACTACAGCCCTACTACTCTATTTCCACAGTTTCCCCGTATGGCGTGGTTAGTCCGTGCAATCCGACGCTTCCCCCCCCCCCCCCCGGCGGCCCCGGATTGTTTGGGGTCCCTAGATACCCGCAGGCAGGGTCGAAAAGACGGTAGTGCGGGCGGGAGGGACGGACGGGTGCTGGTTTATTCTCCCCGTGGGATCCGGCGGTGGTGGTGGTGGGTGAAGATGGAGGTTTGGGGTATGGGGGTGCACGTGGGAGTGGGTGTGTGCGGTGGGGAGGGCTGGATTGTGTTGTGGGCTTGAGGAAGGGGGGTTGGGTTGGGTTGGGTTGGGTTGGGTCATGGGCGATCACTCACCCGGGTGTGGTTATTAACTGGGTAGGTCACGGTGTCGAGCAGTAAAGAGCCCGCTGTCGAGAAGAATGGTGTCCTGTCCGGGCTGCTATAAAATCATCGCTTTTATTGGCTTTAGCCACCGATATATATCAGTTAAGAACTCTAAGACTCGTCCTGATTTCATGAATTCAACAGTGGTACACGTTCAGTGGGTCATTGAACTGCTGCTAGCTGCTATCATTGACTTGACCGTTTTGCAACAACCCTTCATAGCTCTCCTTAGCTGTTAAATCTAAGAATATTCACTACAGCCACCAAGAAAGAATATTTGGATACTTATTTGTTATCCTCGAATTCAATAGCTAACAAAAAAGAAAAACAGGACCATAATCAGCAATTAACTCACCCAACTAAACCACCAGCTCCGGCGCCCTCCACTCATACTCAACCCACTCCGCCGTCCCCCCTCGCGCACGCCTCCCCCGCCAACACCCCCACCCCCACACGTCACCACATCCACGCCCAAATCCCTCCCCACCGCGCCCCTCACCGCCCCCCACACCACCCTCTCCGCCAGCAGCGCCCTCGCAGCATGATGTTAATTAATGAGTGGGGTAGTTACACGATGAGGGCTACTTTGATCTTGCGGTCCGGCATGTTTTGGGGATTGCTGTAGTGCCAGCTTAATTGTAATTGGTGGGGGCGGGGAGAAGAGAAGATGGGGGGACTCTATGTTTTAAGACGCCGTTTGATGGGGGGATCGATCTTAATATTTATCTTCAGGTTTGTAGTGCCATACATGTATGTAGATAGTTACCTACATATACCTCGAGGTAGAAGGTTGAAAGTGCATACCGGCTCTAATCAGCACATGTCCCGATATTTACTTCCCGACTACACGGCAAGAGTCTTGAAGCAGATGTTGAATGCATGTACTGCAATTGTTGGCCGAGAAAAGTAGCTATGTACATGTAGCTGCAGGCGTGACCTCGAAGCCAGAGCTGGAGCGCCACACCACGCGACAAGCCACCCCACCCCGTCGCATGTACTTTACTGCGTGGTAGCTCCGAACGCGCGCCTTGGCCTTCCTCCCTTTCCTCCCTTTCTCCCCCGCACACCAAACAAAACCTCCAAACCACCGCCATGTTCCGCCCGCTCACGCTCTGGCAGAACATCCCCTGCCCGGCGCTCGACGCCCGCGGCAGCTGCACCGTGACGCACTGCCTCTTCTCGCACGCCCTGTCACGCCCGACCGCGCCCCCGCCGCCCGCAGCCTCACCGCCTCCACCTCAACCCCCCGCAGACCCCAACAGTGCCACCCGCACACCTCCGCCACCAGCAGCGCTCTCCGGCGACCCCCGCCTCCGGAAGATCATCGAAGCCAACACCAACCCCAACCCCAACCCCAACCCCGCCGACAGCGACGACAGACGCGACTACAAGCGCCGCCGGGTCCTCGACGACACCGCCGCACCACCGGGCCCCGACTCCGCCGCCAACACCGCGGACAGCACCCAGCCGCCGGCAGTGAAGCGCACAAAGACAAAGGTCGAGACCGCGGGTTCGGCGCTGGGCGCGCCGAGGTCGATCCTCAAGAAGAGCCCGCCCGCTGCGTCTGCGTCTGCGTCTGCGTCGGCAGCGGTGCCAAAGACTACGAACGGGACGAGTGCCGGGAAGGGCGCGCCGGCGAAAACTACCCAGCCCGCTAAATCCGAGGCGGATGCGAAGCCATTGTCGCTGAACCCACGGCTCGTGCCGTCGTCGCCAGCGACACACGCGGTGCGGCTGCAGCTACTAACGCTGCTGCACGCCGAGTACGTGCGGCTTCACGCCGGCAGCGGGGACGCGGACGTGGACGCGGGCGCGGACGCACAGATGCTACTCGGGCTGGCGCTGGACGAGGAGGAGCGCGTGGCGCGCGAGATGCGCAGCATCTACACGCAGGCCATGAAGAAGCGGATCGTGAAGCTCAAGAACAGCAGCGCGGGCGAGTTTGCGGCGGAGCAGGAGAAGAAGCGGCAGCGGGCTGCTGCGCGCAAGGAGGAGGAGGAGGAGGAGAAGGAGCGGGCCAAGGGGGTGAAGGCGGCGGCGGCGGGCGGGAAGGTGGTGGACCACGGGATGGATAATGGGAAGCCGCCGCTGGAGACGGGGCTGACGCCCGCGGAGGAGCTGCAGGCGCTGGCGGGGCTGCTGCAGGAGCCGGCGCAGTTGAAGGGGTATAAATATGTGCTTGAGCCGCCGACGGCGGGGGAGGTCGAGGCGGCGCTTAGGGGGGCTGAGGCTGCGGGCGGGTGGGAGGCGTGTGATCGGTGCGGGAGCAGGTTCCAGGTCTTTGATGGCAGGAGGGAGAGCGATGGGCAGCTGGCCTCGGGGGGGAAGTGCACATATCACTGGGGCAGGGCCGCATGGCCATCACGTATGTTTTCCACTCCGTCCTCACATCACCGAAACAGACGTCTGACTATCTCTATACAAAAAACCACAGGCTCCAGCGCCAACCGCGCGCCCACAGACAGCGACAAGATCTTCACCTGCTGCCGCCAGCGCGTCGGGCAGTCGGCGGGCTGCACAACCTGCGACAACCACGTCTACAAGATCAGCGAGTCCAAGCGCCTGGCCTCGCTCTGGCAGTTCATCAAGACGCCCCCCCGCCCCCAAAGCTCGCCACAGAGCAGCAATGCAAAGGAGCCCATCGAGCGCGCCCTCTGCCTCGACTGCGAGATGTGCTACACCACCCACGGCATGGAGCTCATCCGCCTCACGGCCACGGCCTTCCCCTCCGGCGCCACCGTCATCGACGCCCTCGTGCGCCCCGCCGGCGGCATCCTCGACCTCAACTCGCGCTACTCGGGCGTCTTCCCGTCGCAGCTTATGGCCGCCACGCCGCACGTGCGCCTCCCCTACCCGCCCACGCCCACCTCCCACACCGCCTACATCAACCCCACCGCCACCGCCGCCGCCGCCGCCGCCGCTGGGGTCGAGGCGCCGCCGTTGCAGATCCTGCCGTCGCCGCAGGCGGCGCGCGAGCTGCTGCTGAGCTATGTTGACGCGGAGACGCCGCTGCTGGGCCATGCGCTGGAGAATGATTTGGGCGTGCTGAGGCTGTGTCATGGGGCGGTTGTGGATACGGCGGTGCTGTTCCCGCATGCGAGGGGGCTGCCGATGAGGAACAAGTTGAAGTATCTTGTGGAGAGGTATTTGGAGAGGAGGATACAGGTGGAGGAGGATGAGGCGCGGGGGCATGATTCGGCGGTGGATGCGAGGTGTGCGGGGGAGCTGGTGAGGTGGAGGGTTAGGGAGGGGGTGGTGCTGGAGAGGGGGAGGAGGGAGGGGGGGATGGGGGTGGGGGGGATGGGGGTGGGGTTGGCGGTGGGGAAGAAGGAGGGGGTGGGGAAGAAAGGGGGTGGGGGAAAAGATGGAGGTGGGGAGGCGGGAGGGGGGTAGCTAGACGCATTTCGGATGGCGATATCGGGGGATGGGTGGGAATAAGGCGTATCTTGGGGCCTGCATGGGGGGCGTTGTTTTATTGAGGCTTGCGCTTTTAGATATTCTTTTTCTTTCTTCAATTCATTAATAGAATAAACATCTTATCAGTGAAGAGCTATGCATATATAAGGAGCATCATTTTAATTTGGCACTGATTGTCTGACTACGTGGAGTATATGAATGGTGACAGTCAATTAATGGGAGTCTGGCTAAGTACGTGTACTTGTATGAATGCTGAAATCGTGGGTGCGAGCCTGGGAGCAATAATAAGATGGCTACGCCTAGGCGCTAGCCGGTATATACGCCAACATGTAGCTACATCGTGAGTCCCCTAGGCATTAGTGTTTGTGTATAAAAGGGCTATCATATGTCCTCTGTATTGTATACAGCCAAGCAAGTCAATCAAGAAAGTCAGACCCTTCGGATTTCTATTCACAATGAATGGTAGACGTCAAATGAGTGACATAATGTGACTGCCAGCTGCTTGGCTCGAGGAGGTTAGCATCTGGAACATGGTATTCGGATACTTATTGTGGGCTTGGAATAAGGCGTGTTTCAGGGCCGTGGGTTTGTTTTCATTGCGGCTTGCACTTTTAGATTGCTTTTTTTTCTTCTTCTGAGAATCGTTAATAGAATAAACATATTATCAAGGAAGATCAGTCATATATATATAAGGAGCATCATTTTGATTTAGTACTGATAGTCTGACTGCTAGATGATATTCATGCTTTTATTTTTTATTTTTTTTTTTTTTTTGAGCAATTCGAAAAAGTATCAGGAAATGGATCATGGGCTCAAACTAGGCTAAAAATTTATTTTTCGAAAAAAAAAAAAAAAAAAAAAAAATGACTTGAAATCAGGCCATCAGAGGATATCACAACCCACTAACCATTGGGCTTTGGTTTTCTGGTAGGTACAACAACATTAGCTCTTGAAAATCTATAATTTTATGTAGTTAGTTTGACATCAGAAAGTCATCACAAAGTCGTCACAAAGCATCGGAAAAGGCATCCAAACGATGCCTTTTCAAGAGACCCTTGCAGGAAAGCATCACCTTGATGCATTTACTCCGGTGGTAGAGATGGCGATCTGAATGACAACTTCACCTCCAGATCTTAGAAAAATGTGTAATCTAGGGAGAACCCCCCCCCCCCCCCCCAAAAAAAAAAACCATCCCCAGATGGTCTGAAGGCTTCCTAACTATTATTTTGAAGACAGGTGATGTTCCAGCGTGCATGCGCATGCAGAGGGAGGCTTTATTATATCTTTACGCCCATACCATAATAACTGCGATCCCCGATTAATAGTTAATTCCCATATCACTCTCCGCTCCATTCTTAGACATTGATCTATGACCTTGCTGGAAGGTGAGACTAATGGCTTATTTACGGGTTAGAAAACCATCTTTCAAAGTCTGGAACTATCTCCTGGCTACATCCAGGACGACTACGGGAAGCCATCCACTGTATGAATGCTGAATGGTCAAATGGGAGTCTGAGTACTTGGATGAATGGTAGCAGTCAAAGTGAGTGATAATATGTGACCGGCTGTTTGTCGGAAGAACTTTAGTATTAACACACAAGTAGTTAGTTGGTTATTATTCAAATCTCTGGTCTCGCCCCCCCCTTCTTGCCTTACAAATTCCTAATTAGGCATTCCGATCTCGAGGATCCCAATTAAATGGTATGTATGTAGGAGTATGTAGTAGGTATGTAGGCCCGGCCAGGTACTGCATGCCAAGAGGGCCAAGCCAGGGCCCAAAAAGCTTCCGACACCTTTGAATTGTTGGCCGTTGGTTGGGTAGGACGAGGGTTGGTGGTGCCTGCACAAGCAGTCGTCACTCTCCCGCTCCCTCCGTATCCGTATCTTTCCCACAAAAATTCCCACGTTAACAGGATGGGCCATCCAGACCGCTGATCTGCTTCCCACCAAAATAACATAGTGGGCATTTTTTTTTTTTTTTTAACCACCTCAGTATTCAGCTGTGGAAGCTCTAGTGAAAAACGACAACAAGAAGAGTCGCTATAATAATCGCAAAAAGAGAAGAAAGAGAGAAAAAAAAATATATCCATGGCAGACGCTCTTTGGAGGTGTGTATAACGAAAATGATTCGTTTCTCTGCGCGCACACTTGCGAACCTCTCCCTCTATCTGCTCCCTCTACCTCACCCCACAACCCCCCTTCGCGTCGAGAGAGAGAAAAAAAAGTGTGCAGCTAGAAACTTAGTGCTTGTAGGGCAGCTCTCCGCTGGGAGAAGGAGCTAGCAGCTATCTTTCAGGACCAGGATGCAGGTCGTAATCTCGAGCATGCAGTATCACAGTACGTTGTTCAGTTCGTCCTTTGAAAAATTATCCTTAGGTAGAGAGAACTTTGGTCATTGATGTTTTGAGTGTAAAATTCAACCCCAGATTGCGCGAAGCATATGTAAACATTGTCTTTGTCGACCTACGCTTTGCGCTCGAGCAGGATGTCGAGGGTCGTATCTGGAACAAACACCATAAGATCATTGAACGATACAGGAATATCCTAAACCAGGTTAGAAAGCTAGCGCTCAAAAACCAGATTGCTCAAAAAAAAAACAATTCTTACCCCGAATGTTTCCTCCTACATATAGTTCCGAGAGGCGAATGGGATGAAGAAGCCCGTGGAGCTGCGCAAGCTGCAGACCGCATACATCAACTTCATCAAGCAGGCCTCCCGCTTCTATCGCGGCTTCATTCAGCGCCTGGTCTCACACTACCGTGTGCTGGAGCTGGACTGGGTGGTCCGGAAGTTCCGTCTTTCCAGTACGTGCCATGGGGTTTCCTTGTTCAGGTCCGGACATGTGGCTAACCTTCCTGCTGTCGATATCCCCTCGGACGCACCCGCCGGCAGCTGTGATATCGATACCAAGAACAACGTGATCCGCTCGTGCCATCGCACTCTCGTGTTCCTGGGTGACCTGTCGCGGTACAGAGAGGCGCCCTCTACAGGCCCAAAGAACTGGGGCCCGGCAACGGGGTATTATACGCTCGCAAAGAAGCTTGTGCCTTCGTCTGGGTCGCCGCACAACCAGCTTGCTGTCATAGCTTTGAATGAGGGGTCGAATCTTTCGGCAACCTATCATCTTTACCGCGCACTCTCTGTTGCGGAACCGTTTCCTGAGGCGGGCGACAACCTGGGGTTGGGGTTCAGGAAGGTTCTTAAAGCTCATAAGGCTGGGAACTTGGGAACCAATCTGGTGAGGAAAGAGGAACAAGCGGTTTGTGAACTAATTGCGCTGTTTGTGAGACTTCATGCGAAATGTTTTATCGGGAAAGAGTAAGATATCTTGCTGCCTGAAATAACAAGAAGACTATATATGCTGAACACTTATGTTAGGTTCTCGGAATATGAAGCGCTGGAAAGCGAGATGCTGACGCAGCTTGCTCTTGACTTGAAAGAGCGTACATTGTCGAATGGCATGTTGAGCAAGCTTGTTCTTATTAACATCGCTGCCCAGTTCTATGCAGCAGAGAGGTCAAAAGGTGAGATACTCAATCTCCGAGAAACTAGCCGTTCATGCCTAACAAATCATTCAGAACGTGGGTTTGCTCGTGCCCATGCTAGTTTTCTACGCTTAAATATTACTACATTCACTACTCTCCACCAAGTCTTCCAGCCTGAGCTTGAGCGTGCAGTGGGTGATAAAACGGATAACGATGCCCAAAATGTCTCGGCAGTAGGCAGACGCATGCTTCCTGGACTGAGGTTATATTCGACCTGGTTACGGGTGTGCCATCAGACTCTCACTGACCAATTGGCTGATACGTCCATGTCTGTTTTGATTAAACAGCTTTGGCAAACATATGCAAACACGTTATCCCTTCTTGCGGCAACATTTCCAGTTGAGCGTTTGCATCATTTGGAATATCTTCTGGAAGAGGATGATGATACTATTGGATTTCTACCCTTTGATGCGATCAATGGGGCAAAGAAACTCAATTGGGAAAATGAATCAACGTCGCAAGCACATGCACATCCTAACGAAGAAATGCTTGCAAGGATATTATTCCTGCTTGAAGACGGGGGTCAGCTATGTAGAGAAGAGGTAAATTTCTCTGGGATTGGCAAAATACAGTAATAGTGTTACTAATACCTATCATTCGTTTAGAATGTTCCAATCACCGTAGTTAATGGAACAATAACCTACCAAGAAGACGGTATTCTCACTAGCACTCCATCTATAGGAATGAACTCTCTCTACCGAACCTCGGCGGTCCCACCCACTTATGAAAGGATGGGGACCCCCGATATCTCCAACATCCCACACAAAAACACATTCCAATCCCGTGAAGACGAATACTCAGACGACGAGAATGACGTCCCCCGTGCCGCCGAAAGTGTCCTTGCGCATGGCGGCACAAGCATCATTGAGTCCACCGCAGGCTCTGAAACCATGAGTATCATGAATAGAATGGTCGACTCTCTAGTGGGCCCACGCGAAGACCCCTCATCTGAAGATGACGAAGAAATCCTATTCTCCGGCAGAAGAAAGAAGAAGGAAGCGCGGCGTCGTGCGGCTGCTCGCAGAGATAGCAAAGATCACGAACGCCACGATGGCATTCCCGAAATGCCGAGAATGAAGACCCCCGAGCCAATTCTCAACCCAATGAGAAAATCGCCAATAGTGTCGACACCGACAAATCTCTACACTGCAAAAGACCTCGCTGCCATTGTGCAAAACTTTACAGCGACACATCAACCACCTCACTATTCCTCGGCCCATTCACAGGAGCTTCCTACTACGCCGACACATTCTCAGAAGCAACCCCAAATCACTACCGCCGGTATGAACTCCCCTAATATCGTTACTGCGGTTTCAGGGTCCCCGGATTGGATGCTTCCCCAAAACAATAAATCTCCTGTGTTGCCTGCCATGCCCGAACAGCCCGGCCTGTTCTTTGATGGCAGTGACAAGGTGCAACCCCCGCACCCGA